TTGCTATTGCTATTGCTATTGTATATACATTTGTTTCTGAGCGATAGGTCATTTTCTAGATACAGAACTAAAGATTCAGTATGTATCTTTTAGAGTTAGCACTTTAGAACTTCATTTTTACTAGAAAACAGCATATCAAAGAAGGCTTTAATTAAGTCTGATCTTGTTGGCACAGGAGAATTTTGTGTGAATTTTGAAGCATAATCTTAAGGACTTGAATCATAAGATGGAGTGAATGCAGAAATATTTTCTTACATAGTTACATGCTTTTCTAAAGAGGTTATAATACTTTTGTATTATAGTAGTAATATCTTTATATGGTGTCAATGTAAAGATTTTATGCAGCCATAGTTTTCAGTACTAAAACTTCAAACATTTGAAAATAATATTTTTATACACTACTAAAGGATTTAAAGACCATAATTTAAGCTGGAATTTGGGATAGCAATGTGATTTGTAGTCGCATAAGTATACAGGATTTTGCTAGAAATGTGTCATTCTTACTTTTAGGATCGGGGGATGATACTCGATCCTGGGGACCACCATTTGTTGGAACTGAAAGTGTTTATTTTCTCAGTGTAAATAGAAATAAAAAGGTAATAAAAAGTATTTCTTTTAATGCTAAACATTTTAAAACATTCAATTCATTGCTTCTACTTAATTCCTGTTGCATATGCATATACACAGCATTGTTAAAGATGAAATGGTTCCACCACAAAACCGCGGAGGACAAAATTGCGCTCGACGAAAGCGCACATTTGACGTCATCACAGCACGACGAAAACATCGCGCTGTGATCGAAAAATGTAAAAATAAAGTGAAAACCTTACCCTAACCCCCCCAAACCTAAACCTAACCCTAAACCTAACCCTTAACCTAACCCTAAATCTAACCCTAAACCTAACCCTTAACCTAACCCTAAACCTAACCCTAAACCTAACCCTAAACCTAACCCTTAACCTAACCCTAAATCTAACCCTAAACGTAACCCTTAACCTAACGCTAAACCTAACGCTAACCCTTAACCTAACGCTAAACATAACCCAAATGCTCTAAACCTAACCTTAACTCATAACCTAACCCTAACCCTAAACCTAAACCTAATCCTTACCTTTATGTGAATCGGCTTGCTTTAATTTTAATTTTATTTCAATTTTTAATTTTTTTCGTCGCACTGTGGTGACGTCAAATGCGCGCTTTCGTCGAGCGCGATTTTTTCCGCCGCGGTTTTGACGGGTCACGGATGAAACAGCTATTAGATATGATTGACTCATTAATGTTCTAAGTGTATTTTTTTCCAATAATGTTCTGAGTCGATAACTGAATAGAAAGTTGTTTTTATATTACTAAGAGAATTGCATCTTTCCTTTTTATTAGAGTATAGCTGTTAATATGAAGAAGGCCAAGGGAGCAAAGATAATTAAAGAGGTGAGTTTAAACTGAAAAATAAATCTTTGTCAAGGGAAAGTGCTTATGTTGTAAAATATGCAATAGATATTTGAGGGAGAGGTTGTCATTTAGTGAAGAATATAGGTTTTGCTAATAAGTACTTATTCAATCTGTGTCATCTCCAAGGTCTAAAGTATTAGTGTTTCTACCAATCACTCTAGATTTCCTAAACTAGATAGATTAATGATTTTCTAAATTTAAGCAATTTCCCTGTATTTCATATCAGGGTTGGATATTCAGAAATAAGTTCCACTGAGTTGAATTGGGTTTATTCCCAAGTAAGAATTGTAATAACATTGTGGCCTATTATTAGGAATATTTTTTTCTCCCCAACTTTCAAGAAAGTTATTTAGTGATTGCTGTTGTTTCAGTCAATTATAGTTATAGTAATAGACAATCATGATTAAATAGTACAGAAGTTCCTTTTTGTTATTCTAACAACTTCTAACCACTGATATCTGCAAGCTATTTAACATATTTAGTATATGTTGAACAATAGGAATTATCAAAATTACCATGCTAGTGGGACATCCAAGAAAGACAAGCATACTGAAACACAAAAAACAACACGCAAGGTTCTCCATAATAATGAATCAGTTTCCCGGATACCATTTTGGATTTTAATTGAATTTAACAACCAGCATGCAAAATTGCTGAAAATGTAAGAACTATCTCTTGCAAGCTGCTAAGAGCCACTTCCAGCACACAATTGATTATAGGAAAGGAACCTGAAATAGGGAAGTTACCATATAAGATATGTATAAAATTATGATAATAGAAGTTTAGAAACTCTGGTACAATCCAGGAAAAAGTTTTGGAAATTTATGAACTATGAATTATTGATACTGAAATGCTACTGTATTTATTTTAGGACTGTACCAGGGGTGGGTTCCTGCCAGTTCTAACCTCTTCTATAGAAGAGGTTCCACAAATCTACCGTGCCATTTAGAACTGGTTCCAGCTCCCTCCCCCCACCAGTCTGCACTACGCTTGCCCCGCCCACCACTCACTGATTGGCTGGCTCACCAATCGCCCTGCCCGCCTCTAAGAGTCCTATCTAAACCTTAAAGTATTAAACCTGTCAGGTTTGAACAACCTTGGGTTTTTTTTTTCTAAAGGGTTAGGGGT